TTCAATGCGACATTTCTCAGCAACAAATAATGGAATCCACTTCTGTAGAAAGCAGGATACTCTTAGCAATTCAGGCTATCGAACAAGACCCAGAATTAAGTGTCCGGGCCGTTGTAAAGATTTACAATATCCCTAGAACCACCCTCCTCCGCAGAATGGCCGGCCGACGCGCCCGACAAGATACCCGCGCCAATTCTACAAAACTAACGGAACTGGAAGAGAATGCTGTTCTTCAGAACATATTGGACCTGGATTCGCGAGGATTCCCGCCCCGGCTTACGGACGTAGGAGACATGGCCAATATCTTGCTTGCAGAGCGCGACGCGACACGCGTCGGTCCACGCTGGCCTTCGAACTTCGTCAAGCGACACCCAGACCTCCAGACGCGTTTCAATCGCGTATACGACTACTAGAGAGCCCTTTGCGAAGATCCTGAGAAAATTGGCGCGTGGTTCCGGCTTGTGCAGAACATGAGGGCCAAGTACGGCATCCAGGACGCGGATCTGTACAACTTCGACGAGACCGGCTTTATGATTGGTATGATCACTGCGTCGATAGTGGTTACACGTGCCGAAAGACGTGGTAAGGTAAAGACAGTCCAGCCTAGCAATCGGGAATGGGTTACCGTGATCTAAGGAGTTAATGCGTTGGGGTGGTGTATCCCGCCTTTTATCGTAGTGAAGGGGCAATATTACCTTGCGAGTTGGTATACAGAGAGCGGCTTCCCACAAGATTGGGTTATAAAGCCTACTACTAATGGATAGACCGACAACGAGATAGGCTTGGACTAGATACGGCATTTCGAAAAACATATTGCCAGTCGCAAAACCGGCGTATATCGAATATTAGTGATTGACGGCCACGAGAGTCACATATCGGCCGAGTTCGACCGGTTCTACAAAGACCACAATATTATCACGATTTCCATACCTCCGCACTCGTCTCATCTACTCCAGCCACTTGACGTCGGGTGTTTCGGTCTATTGAGGCGGGCGTACAGTCGCCAGATCGAAGTACTTATAAAGTCGCACGTTAACCACGTGACTAAGGTCGACTTCTTTATCGCCTTCAAAGCCGCGTTCGATACTGTTTTTATAAAAGACAATATCAAGGCCGGATTCAGAGGAGCTGGTTTAGTCCCTTATAATCCGGAAGCGGTTATATCTAAGTTGGATGTGAAGTTGCGGACTCTAATACCGACTGGTCCACCTCCGGCGGCCGCCGACCCTTGGGTGTCTCAGACACCACACAACCCGATAGACGCCGTTTCACAAACGGATTTTATCAAGGGGCGGATTACCGGTCACCAGGGCAGCTCACCGATACCAATTTTACATACTATCGACCAGTTTGCCAAAGGTGCGAAGGCAATAATGCATGAGGTAGCTCTCCTTCGGTCCGAGGTCAGGATAATTCGGGACGCGAATGAAGCACTTAGCAAGCGTCGGCGGGCTAAAAAGACACGTGTACGGAATAGAGGAGCTCTTACTATAGGGGATACTCAAGATTTACTGGCTCAAAAGGATACGGATACGCAGTTGGAGCAGGAAACGCGTCGGAGGAGTAGTCGCAAGAAGAGAGTCGAGTCGGGCGCGCGGCGTTATAGCACATGCGGCATAACAGGACACAATGCGCGTACTTGTGAAAACGATATAGAGATGTCTGGAGAATCTAGCTCTAAGTAGTTTTAATTGATACCCTTTGTTATTGTTGTGTAATTAAGCTTCATTGATATTAGAGTCGTGGGAGGTGGTCCACTCGCTATAATGGTCCACTCGCTATGCACTTACGTTAACTCCTCGATGTTTGATATCAAAAGAACACCCTGGAGACGCTCCGAGTAAAGCTCTTATACTCCTCGGTTGCGGCAAGCGGCGTAGTATTTCCCCTTGACAGTGCACCATCACGTATTCTCCGGTTTGTTTCCCCTAGTCCTTGCTTATAAACTTCACTATAATCTCGTTTCTATATTCGAAGCAGGTTAGATGACGGAAATCCACAATCGCTGGAGGTGATTAACGAAAATAGCAGATGATAGGCATAGTGCACGGAGTCTGTGTCGGAATAGGCATGCCGTATATGCTATGGCATCGAGGGAGTAATACCAATATGTCACCCCCGCACTGCGAAGGCCCTTGTTACTAAGCTCCGCTGACATCGTTGATGACAGCGTCAGGTTCGAGCTGACAGGCGAACTAGTAGAGGAGGCGGAGCCTTCACAGTTGTACTGTGTCTGTGGAGCATCATCTTCCCGGAGCTTTCACATATGCCAGCGCCGCGGTCCACCAGTGGTTCTGCGCGACTCGGCCGGAAGTATAGACTTTGAAGTCAGTTACCAACAACAGACAGTGTTTGTTGCACACACGGTCTGGTCTCGTCAGCGAAGCATCATGTTGTCTGGCTATCAGGCTCGCCGTGCGGAAGCGTAAAATGAGATTACGTTTCTACTAATCCCGGCGTGAATGCGTAAGCTCCCAGTCGGCCAGGGCCGGTCCATAAGCTTGATTATGTCGTCTAAATCGGAAGCGTATCCCGAGAATTCGTGTTATCACCGATGCCAAACTTCCTGCCTCTGGAGTGTAGCACCACCGGGGGACCCTCCACCAGCAAGAGGACCGGATTCGCGGCCTTGAACTGCACGGTGCATTTGGCTGCACGGGTTGCCTCAAGATCTCGCTGTGTCGACTTGAAGGATTGCTCTGGTAGAGTTTGTGCGTAGGCTACTAGGGGGACGATGAATTGAGGAGAGTGTAGAAGGGGGAAAGCCTTGGAGAGTTCTCGAATGGAAATGAACGATGGCTAAGCGGACTCTTGACGCAGTCTTATTACCGCCCTCGGATGACCCGCGTGTGTTGACAGTGAAAGGATATCTCAACAAGGACTGCCCTAACCCACGTAATAATACACCCCCGAGTTCTAACCGTAATAATACACCCCCGAGTTCTCGGGTCTCTCGTCACGCTCGAAGTAATAAGGGCGGTCATTATACGACCAGAACTGGTCGTCAAACCACCTGTCCTGAATCCGATTACAGTGAATCCTACACCATCCGCGATACCGCTCTCGTGAAACTCGGGCTTCGGCATAATCGTCGTATCCAACAGCCACAGCCACCCTTCCTGCCCCCACCGTACAAACTTGTACTTCTCCTGAAGGTCCACCGCGCACCGTAGAGGAGGGGTCTCGTTAGGTATTTTGGCCAAAGCCTGCAGGCTTTCCGCATCAATGACTAGGAACTGTCGAAAACGAGGATGCCTTGGGACAATTGGGAGTTCCGGATCTGGATCCTCGGGGTTCACACCCACGCCCACAAGCCATTGCCGGAAGTAGGCATAGAGGGCCATGAAGTGCTCCGGCCCGTCGAGCTTCTCTAGGTTGGCCTTGTCCTCGATGACATCCATATAGAAGCGGCGGCAGATCTCGTCGTTCGGTTCGGCATACGGGATGCATTTCTCCTCGCAATGCTGTCTGAGCAAGGGGAAACGATGAGAGTGACTTCCGTAGTGAACAGCGCGCTTGATCTTGTCGATCACCTCGGGGAAGAGCACATCCGACTCCGGCGTGTAGACGGTGCGGAGGACGGTGTAGCCCCACGTGCCGTTGCCATACTGGAATCCGGGCCTTAGGTCGACAGAGAGCTTTTGCCGGGCTAGCTGTTCGAGGTTGAAGCGCGCGGTGCCCTCTTTCTTTGGAAATTGAGGTCCTCGCATCCACAGATGGTCGGGGATGGGACCAAAGGTAGGTGGCGGCATAGTGGAAGCGGTCTGATGATGAGATATACGTGGCTCTATGTCTTCGTCTCGTTAGGCAAGTTTCTACCGAGCGGATCAAGATGGGACGACATACCTCATACAGGTACATTCGCATACAAAAACGACCGGTATGCTTATTACCACAGCGGTTGCGCGTGTGTTGCCATGATATTTTGCGCGGAAAAATAGCGTGAAGGGGATGGCGGTGTGCTGGGGACCTGTGGAGTTGCCAGATGTTCTCAATGCTACCTCTATCCAAACCCCAACCTCGGCAACCCGTGCACACCTCATATCACATCCTCAAGGTTGCTATTTAGGACTTGGTGGTGAGAATAATGGGAATGTTCCTTGCTTATGGCTCTCAATCACTTACGACAAAGGTGTTGAAATGAGTGTACAGGTTGCATGATTGACTGTTCTAACTAGGACATCTGGGCCAGGGGACACTGTTCCTTATATGCCTGAGGGGAGCCCTGGTACCGGTACATCCAGAAGGGATGCACTTGACCCTGTCTCTCAACAAAAGGAACGTCCACCCAAGCAATATAGCAAAAAGAAGAGAACCAGAAACGTACAACATCAGGGATTCCCCGGTGGTCACCCACCCGAGTACTAATCTGACGATTACTGGCTTATCTATGGGAGAGCGGACGGGATCCCGAGTTTTCCAGTATCTATGGTCGTACGTATCAGTTATAGTTGGCGGTCCGCTTTATATATGTGCGATATGGGAGGGTGTGTCGTGGTGGTTGAGGAGGATGCTTGTCGCACTGGTTGAACTTCGAAGAGAGAATGACAATGCGGCATGTCACTTTGAGTCGCATGGTGGTGACTTCTTCAATGACAGGTATATTCGTCTGAGCTATTCGTGTAACTATGGCTGGCACTCTTCAGTCGAGCTTAAGCCGAGACTTACAGGAAGTGGACGGGGCAAGCATGTTTACCTATCCACCTCTCCCATAGCTCCTAGACTAGGTCTAATAGTTCGGAAGCGCCATCTCTACTTAGGTAGGTATGGATACAGCTCTAATCAACTACAAGTCTCATGTCTCAAGTCTCAAGGACTCCCCCACGGTAGGTTATAACCGTCTTCAAACCCTGTGTTCCGTATCCATAATGATCGCGAGTCATTCCTTCACAACCCACAACCCAGCCCACACCTCGCCAACCCACAGCTCACAACTCCGACCGATTTTGCACCACACAACCCCCGATATCGACCCGCTGCTCCATCGACAACGTAAAGCATTCTCCTTAGCTCAGTTGGCTAGAGCGTTCGACTGTTATCTTTCACCACGAGAAAAGCACATCGAGAGGTCCACAGTTCAAGCCTGTGAGGGGAAGAACAGCGTTTACTATCTCTTTTTTGCTTCTCTCTGTTTTTACTCTCTGACGAAGTCACTTTTGGTAGAGGGTGTGTGTGGTTGAGGTGTGGTTGAGGTGTGGTTGAGGTGTGGTTGAGGTGCGGTGGTGATAGTAGTGCAAGGTGGGTGTGACTGTAGTTGGTAGAGGTGGTGCTAACGGACCAGGAAAGAGGAAGAAAGGGGCATGCTGGAGGCTGTCTTTTGGAGGGATGTACCTGTGAGGGAGGCAGATGAGGGGTGCTATCGTGGGGTTAGATCGTAACTCTACTTGTTGGTATATAAGGGACATGCTGGGAGGCTCGATGTCAATTATGGTCTGGAGGGGGAGGAGTATTGTGTTTGACGCTGGGCGTGAAGGTAACGGGACTTGGGAGTAGCTGGTAGGTACGCTAGTATTATCATTGCGTTGGCTGATGAGACCCCAGTCCTCCATCGGAGCCATGCGAAGGTATGCTGGTCGGTTAGTCCCGTGCTGTTCTGGAGACCAGGAAAGCCACGCGCTAAGTTGATGTTGATGTTGTGGAAGGGGCGTTCACATTAGCGCGGGAGGCAATCACGGGACACATCACAGCGGAAGTTGGGAGTGCAAGGTAGACGTCGATTGACTCCTTAAAATCAACATATCGTATCTCTCCAAGCGCCGCACGCAAATGCAAGCCATCCATTATTTCATAACCCTCCACTCAGGGTCCAGTGCCAACAGGCCGGCCTGGTATCATCCCCTGAACTCAGTTCATGGACGGTCTCGGAACTCCTCCAAACTTCCAAGACCGATCGAGACTTCCAAAATTTCATTGCTTTTCCTCCACATCGTTCCTACTCCTTCCACTCACTCCAAACACGTCCACGTCCTCCACTCCAAGCGCCCCATCGTCAGGTACTCCAGTAGCGCGGAAAACCTTCAACTTTCACCACAGTGCTTCTCCTGCCCCTCGAAAACCAACACGGACAGAAGCCAAACTCCAGAAGCCAGACCATTCGACACCATCCAGTCCGTATAACGTATGATGCCGACAACCGTGATGCTTCTCCATCGTTTTCCTGCGAGGACCATCACACACACCAGGGGCCTCGTACGAAAACATGCAGAGCGGAGAAAATGACGACGACACTCGAGGGAAACCGAACGTGCCATGTGTGAAAATATTATTAGTTCTGTACGCAAATGCGTGCGTGCGCGGGCATCCCTCCAGCCCAGATGTGGGCAGACGACACTTCGAAAATGACTACCGACCGAAAAGGGGTTTGTTGAAATAGCCATCTAGGACATGAAGTCGTAACAGCATAAACAGTCGTAAAGGGCGTATAAGCAACTCAGGATTTCTCTGTTGTTGACCTGCGCCTCCCCCTGTGTCTCCTGAATGACTGTTGATAAAGTTGGTTTGGGGGTTGAATGTCGAGACACTGGTGGCGAAAAATTGACAGAGAGCCCAAGATGGTCTTTGGGGTATCGAACACCGCGGACAAAAGCCAACGTTGATCATCACGTCCGTTGTCGCGTTGTTCCAGTAGTTGCTCGTTCGGCCAAAAGGTCGATGGCCTTGGTGGTTGCCCACAAAGCTGTAAAAGAAATTTGTATCCCTCGTTTTTTCCGTTCGTCCACACGTTTCGATTTTTTCCGTCGTATAACCCGAGAGCGGTGGTTGCGCGCAAGATTTAACCAAGACGTGGTTGAAGTCCAGCGGTCCAAAAAAATTCAGTCGAACAAACAAACACCAAACATGCAAGACGATGTGTCTGGGTAGCACCACCACCCAAACAACGTATACTATTCAACAACAGAAAATGCAACCAAGTGGAGCAGGTTGCACCTTCGAACTCGCCGGTTGTTGTGGATGAGAGGCATGAGCCGAGGTCGCGAGTTGGAGCGCGAAAATGCTCCGCCGCAAGTTGAGGATAAGGATAGAGTGTTGTGTATATCGCCATCAGGACGCATGCCTTGGGCGGTCTTGTCGGTGTGATTGTTGACTGGCAAATGAGAACTTGCAGAGAGACCGAAAAGACAAGGCATATATATGCCCGATGGTGCTGTGTATAAATGTAGTCGGACATGTCGGCAGCGTGACTCGAGCTCAGTGAAAACGGGAAGTACCGGTGTTGGCACCAGCGCGAGGCGCGTTATCGGACGAATCTAATGAGTGGGGGTATTAGAAAAGTCGGACGTCGACGGAGAAGGGTATTTGTGAAGACATACCGCTGCCTCGTTGCATGTGTCCATTCGACCTGCCACGCGTGCCAAAACCACTCGACTCCCACTCGGCAGGCCCGCGCGGCTGGCGTTCAGGCACATTGACGCGCGGGTTGGAGCCGTTCATGCCGGGACGTTGGCTGCCGATAGCGCCGGGTGCTTGGGGCCGCATCTGCGTGCTGCCGCCATCAAATCCGCCCAGACCCAGAGCTCCCATCCCCAAGATGAGCGAGGACGCGTCGTTGACAGTCGGTGCTGCCAGACTGCCGCCGGGGGTCGTGGGGGTGTTGAGCGAGCTTGTCTGTGTGTAGTCACCAAAGCGGGCTACATGGCCGCCAGGCTCTCCGTTAGCCTGCCCGTAACCCGTGACGGACGGGGACGGACTAGGGGTGTACGAACGCAGATCCGCAAAGCTCTTGACCCCCCGCAGACCGTTCAAGCCCGAGACAGCATCAGGGCTGCCGGGGAGCTCGAGCATAGGGTTGCCGGGGCGGCCAACAGCATGGTAGTTGCCAGCATTGGTCATGCGCGACTCGCCGAAATCGATCGTGGCGGCGCGGCTCAATCCTCGGCGGTGAGCGTCCAGAGAGACGCCGGCGGGGAGGTGCGGTGGCGCTTGAGTGGTCGGCGAAACGCGGGCGGTGTCGTTCTTGATGACGTGCAGCTGCCTATGCTGGCCCTCTCCGGCAGAACGGTGCTCCAATCCCATGTTATGAGCCAAGACGTGGATGGTGCGGCGCTGAACGGGTGTTATGCTGTTGGGGAAGATGAGAATCTCGCGATCGGGGTCGTTGCGGAACAAGGTCAACTCGGTGTAGAAGCTCAGCGTCTGCGGGTCGTTGAGGTCGACATCTCCTACCGGAAAATTAGCTCCTGCTCGTGTCGAAACGGGACCAGGTGACTTGCGCAGCGGGGAGTTACGCTGGCCGGTGGCGGTTGCCGAATTGGTCAAGGAGTGCATCGAACCTTGCGGGTGGAGGGCTAGCGGACGGTGCTGCTCCTCGAGCTGGCCACGCTTCTCTCGCTTCTCTCTCTCAATACGCTCTCGCTCATGCTCAGGCAGCATCTTCTTGTATTCCACCCTCAGCTTCCTGCCCTGTACGTCGAGACCGTTCATCTTGTCGATAACGATGGCGGTATCCTCGGCGTTCTGGAAGTTCGCGAAGGCGAGGCCGCGGAAGACGCCTTGGTCGAAGTGGTAGTTGAACGCATAGGGCTGGGGAAGAGCCATCTCGGTCATCATCTGCGTGAGTGTCTCCTTACGGATATTGAAGGGGATGTTCTTGATAACGATGGCTGTGGGGATGAGATCACTGCCGTTGTTCTTCTCCTCCATGCCCCGCAGTGGCATGTTTCCGTAGTTGTTCTGGTAGGCGTGTCGGTCGTTGGGCATGCCGCCGCTCATCATGCCGAGATTCGGTGGCATCATGGGGGGGTTAGGGTAGGCAGGGGTGCCATGGTGGAGGCCTTGATTGTTCAGAGGCTGCTCGGGGAGAGATGTCCATTCCTGAAATCGAGATGGTCAGCAATTTTACATGGGAAGATGCGGGTGATGTACTAACAGATGGGATCTGGCCTCTGCGGTTCGAAGGACGCAATCGGTTACCGTCGCCGCCCATGGGGCCATTCACTGTGGCAGCGCCTGGATGGAAGCCGCCCCAGCCCTGGCTGTTGTTGTTGTTGCTGTTGTTGTTCAGCATGAAGGGATCGGGAAAGCCTTGGTTGGGGTGGAGCCTGGTGCTCCGGAAGGCGTTGTCGTAGGCGTTGAAGCGATCTTCGCCATACAGAGCAGGCAGGTTCTGGCCGCCAGACTCTCCTTGGCGTTGGCCGCCTCGGCTTGGAGGTTGGAGGCTGGAGACTGTGCCATAACCGGGTCGCGACAAGCTAGGTGAGCGGTTTGCATTTCCCCCCATCGAGTAACCGCCCCCATAGAAGAGGTCTTGTTGTTGGTTCATTGCGAAAAAGGAATGTCAACGGCGGATGAGCCAGCCGACAGAGGCAGGCCGATGCGCTCGAGGCAGGTATCGATATATTTATCGGGAGGGGGACTGCAAGGTCGTCCGAAGAAGAGACGACTTGGCGGTACGTCGGTCACTCTGTTGACAATGTCGGATGGAGTGGAGTGGGCCGTCGCAGGAGGGTTGCTATGCAGAAAGGTGATCTCTTGAAGAGAGGACGACGACACCAAGGGTGGCTGCGAATGTCGATATAGATCCTCCAACTCGGTCACAGCATGCACGCACAGAAGCAGAGCTGTGGTGGTGGTTGTAGGGAGGTAGGTGGAGTTGAGAGGTCGATCGGAGGAAACAGACGTTTCGTCGGTCGACAATGAGGTTGGAAATAAAAAAAACCCTTCGTCCGCGGCCACAGAGATATGGGGCGCGTCTCCGATGACAGAGAAAAAAAGAAATGCGAAGCAAATAAATGCTGAGAATGACTATGTACTAGGAGTCTAGAGGGAGGTCGAATCTCATCACGTCGTTGCGTCTCTTCTTTTTGGGTTCGTTTCAGTCTCGTTGAATGTGTCGTAATAGGCGGGAAATGATGAGGTGAAGGAAGATGCAGCCTGCGAGATGGAGAATGCTGCTTTTGGGATGGGAAGGGCGGACGAACTCCAACAATAGGGGAGAAGTGGTAAGGTTTGGTTTGTTAAGGTGGGATGGAGGAGAAAACTGGCCGTGTGGACTGTGGAGTGTCACCTCCAGTAGAGAAATGCAGGGAGCCGGAACACTGATGAATTGTGGGGCAATCAAGATGGTCAAGATGGGTTTCTTGGCAGGCGCGGTCCTCTC